TCTCCTCCAAATTTAGTATTCCAGTTAAAGCTTGAATAATTTTCACAACCTTGTTTGTAATAATCAGAATAAGGATTATATATCTTATGGCTAGTTTCAAAATAGTTAGGCTCAATAAATTGTCCAAATGAATTTTCTTGAATATTTGGGGGGCATTTGAGGATAACTTTCTATATGTTGATCTAACTTCCTTGCAATATCTGTAACCTGAGAATTTAAAATAGTAAGCATATGTTCTTGAAAATTCGCTCCTCTCTTACGGTTTATTCTATTGAAGCTACTAACATTATAATCCAAATCTGAATATTCATTATATTGTCAATCCGTCATTTCTACATTAAATGCATGGAGTCCATTCTGATTCATCATCCTCCTAAAAGTTCTCTTTAAATATGAGTCGTAAAATTCAAGGTTTCCATCCTCTGAACGACGCAAACAAATTTAAAGACTTAACTAATATGACAGATATAAAAAAAATATTTTTGGTATTTTGGATTTTTCACACAATAATTAATATACGATATTATAATTTTCAAATCTAAGACTTACAGGTTTAACTAAAATTCTCTTAAAGTTATTTCTGAAGCTTCTCCGACAACGACGCCAAAAACTCTATGTGCCTCTGGTGTGTTGTTTTTCTGTGTGTTTTACGTCAATTTAATTCCTCTGAGATAGCGTCAAAAACTTGACCCGACCCACAGTTACGCAGTAATTTAACTTTCAAATAATTGTAAAAAAAATTGACCCAATTTATATGTAGCAGTTAATATTTAAAATTGAAATATTATAAAATGGAGAAAGTAGTTTACACACTATGGGTTCTACGCAAGTGCACATATCGCTTCAGGTAATATAGGGCTTTCTTTAAAAACCCTAGTATCGATTCCACGAAGAAGTGAAATAAGAAATCCCTTTGGTTAATTCTAATCTACTATTATAAGCAATTAGTTTGGAAGGTTGATTAAAGTGGTTTTAATGTATGCTAACGAAACTAAGTTTGCTAAATTAATTTCTAAACTTTAAAGTTAAATTTACTAAGACTGAATAAAGTTTTGTGATGAAGAGTTCAAATTTAAGAAAATATCATTCCCACTACAATGAATTTTTGGTTAATGACAGAGATAAATGTTTTGAATTCGTATCGTGCCAAATAGGAGCAGTTTTAATTCTCTACCCTCGGTCAAGTGTTATAGAAAATCATTGGCTAATATTAAGCTTAGTCCTTAAATCCGTGGTTAGGCCGGGAGGATCCTGGCTCTCACTCCAGAGCTCCCACTTCCATTCCCCTGAAGGCTAACTCTCACTTCAGTTCATAAATAATAAGACCAATTTGGAGATTTTAGTCTGTCACCCTAAAATCTCCAATTCTACGCCCAACAACGTATATTTCCCTATTTATTTGCACCCAATTCCATGAACGACATACTCCTCCATGGAATCAACTCCTCCATTACTCCTCCATGGAATCAAATGTGATTCTCACTTTGTTGTAGAACTCATAGTCTATTTCCCGGATTGTATGTTTCAAAACAAATTTTAATATTTCAATTGGCCATATCGAAAAGGAAATGAAGAACGGAGTGAAAAATCATCATAATTATTTAACATTTAAATGACACATTCAAATTATCTTTCCATTTCACCATATCTCATTGCAGGGAGAAAGACAAAGAAGATTACTCAAAATTCATGAGGAAGATACGACAAAACATGAATTATATATATATAAACAAGTTTATAAAACAAAGTAATGAAAGAACACAACTTATCTTAAACTCCTTCTCAAGCAAATCCCTTGAAGTTTCCTTGAAGCATTTTCTCTTTTTACAATCAACACTGAATTCTCTCTTAGAAATGTAGTAAAGAAGAAACCTCTCACATTCCCTCTCCTCTTACAATTCTTCAAGAAAATCCTCTCCACAAATAAGACTTAACTCTACACTTACACACACTCACACACACACACACGCACACACCCCCGCTATGAGAGGCATCAGACCCTCTTTTTTAAAGAGGCAAAAAATCTCTCCTTTTTCCCAAAAGATACTCCCCTTCACTTCAAGAGACACATCTTTTCACTTCCCGCTATGAGAGGCGTCAGACCCTCTTTTTTAAAGAGGCACAAAATCTCTCCTTTTTCCCAAAAGACACTCCCCTTCACTTCAAGAGACACATCTTTTCACTTCAAGTGTCTGGATTCATTGAATCACTACAAGGGACACAACTCTTCATTTAAAAATCACTCATTAACTCCAAGAGACACATCCCTTCATTTAAGAGCCTTCCCAAGTGTCTAGATGCATTGAATCACTTTATGGGGTGTTTGAATCACTTGGGAGCCTTCTAAAATGCCAAAAACCGTAAAAAAATCTGTCCATAATCTTCTCGAGCACCGTTAGCGCCGGTCTGGGTGCCTTCGGCGTCATTTTTTGTCGATTCTCTGGACTTGGGCGTCGTCGACTCCAATATGGGCGCCGTCAACTCCTGCCTGCAGTAGCTCCACTGTTTCGCTCTGTTTGGCTTTGTTTCCATTTCACCATGTTTAAGTTGTGTTTTGTTCCTAACAGATAGACCTACAAAATAAGCATGAAAAAAAACTTTTCTTTCTTAAAGTGTAATTTTATTTAAAAACATGTGAGAAGTGAGAAGTTGATTATGCATAGAAAGACATATCGAAATGTGTCAGGCCAAAATTTTCTTTCTTGCTCGTTTTAGCTCTAAATTGCATCGTTTTTGCTTCTTTTTCACCAAAAGTTCATTTTTTATTTCTGAAGCCAAAAACATGCAAAATACCTTTCTTTAAAGTGCAATATTACCAAAAATGAGTATAAAATATATGTCTAAAAATGCATATATTTTTGGTACTGTCTAAAAATGTATAAAATATATGTCTAAAAATGCATATATTTTTGGTACATCGTGTAATAAAACACTTCCCAATGCCTTTGCTCAATAATCGTCTTGATCTGCCCTTCAAGCATGATGAATCCTCTTTCTCTTATCAATTTCTTCTTCACCAAAGTCCTATCATGAAGACTTTGCTCTTGTTTGCTTATGTACTTCTTATGATCAAAGAATCTAAGAGTTAAACTTGTCAAAGCATTTCAATCCATGAATCTTGAAATCTGATGAAATCTCAAGACTTCTGTCACTCCCAACCCTTCTAAAATGGTGAAGAACAAAATGAATTGAAGCTTTTTGTGTTTTATAATGGCAAAAATTGACAGAAAAATTGAAAAATCACTCAATTTCGTGATTTAGTAACTATGGCGCCTAGGCACCAGATTTGGCTGCCTATGCGCCAGATTTGAGTGCCTAGGCAACAGGTTCTCTGTATTCTAATGCCTAGGTGCCATATTTTGATGTCTAGCCACTAATGCACAAATGAACACCGATTTACCATATCTCCAAATACTAATCTTAACCTCTTATAGGTCATGAATTATAATGTTTTAAGTAGTAACAACACATGTGCGACTCTCAAACATAATCAAGAAAATACACACAAAAAATCTAAACAAGCTAAACTTAAACTATGCAAATAACTATGGGTTGCCTCCCATAAAACACTTGGTAAAAAAATTGTGATGATTTGAACTTCGACCTTCATTTATTTTTCGATCTGTCAATTGAAATGTTAAAATGTGTTGAGAAACATATGATCCAAAAGGGCTATGATTTCTACAACATAGTGAGAATCACATTTGATTTCAAGAGAGAGGATGTCATCCATGGAGTTGAGTGCAAAAAAATAGGGAAATATACTTTGTTGGATGCATAATTGGAGATTTTAAGGTGACAGATTAAAATCTCCAATTTGGTCCAGTTGATTGGAAATTAATGCGCAATTGTTAGCCCTCAGATTAGGGAGTAATGGGAGCTCTGGAGTGGCAGTCGGTATCCTCCCAACATAACCACAGAATTAGGGACCAAATTTGGATTAGTCAATGTTCTTTATTCACTTGGAAGAGGGTAAAGAATACGATTGCTTTTATTTGACACAAAACAAATTTATATATGTTCAAATGATTTTAATTTCTTTACAATTCATATACTCATTGTAAAGAGGAATGATGTCTTCCTAAATTTGAACTCTCTATCACAAAAACTTGGTTTAATTTTTGTAAGTTTAGCAATTAGTTTAGTTAACATAGTTTTTTTAACTTCATCTTATTTAGCATTTACTCTAATATTTTACATTTGAATTTAATACTTCAATTTAGTAGTTTAAATTGTGATTTAAATTATAATTATAAGAATTTATCTAAAAGCATTTCCGACTTCCTTGTGGGATTGATATCTTGGACTCCATTAGAGCCCTTTATTACTTGAGCAAAATGTATACTTGCGTTATTATTAGAGGATTTGACAGTTTAAAGATTTTAAAAGATAAAATTATTTTCACTAAAAGTTATTTTTGTTGGGTTTACATTGTATATTTGTTTTTATTACTGTCGTGTGTATTTTGTAATATTGAAAAATATTTGCAGAAATAACACACAAATCTGACCTGCATCGAGCACCTACATCAACAGGACTTCCAATTTGATGACTTCCAATTTGAATACAATAATTCAAAATCGCACTTTAAATGTTATCTTTTGACTTTTCAAAATCAGGACTTCCAATTTGAATACAATAATTCAAAATAGCACTTTAAATGTTATCTTTTGACTTTTCAAAATCATATTATGCAATATAAGCCCTAACTCTTTTAAGATTCCGAGGTTGTTGTTTGATACAACATAAACCCTTCTATGTTTTTAGGCTATTCGTGTGATCAAGATCATGTAAATGTAAGTTATAAATAATAAAATCCGCAGTATTAAACATCAAATAATATAACCTTCAAAACTATAGCTAAAACTTTGCCAATTAATTTTGTGATTCTTATTATTATCTTACATGAAATGATTGTTTAGAAGTGAAGTGTTAAAAAAAATTGAATTCCTTAACTTGTTCTCTGTATTGTTGCATCTACTTCTATTAATCTGCTTCAATTAATTTAAAAATCTGTGGGATTTGGTGCGCTTGAAGCTGGACTAAGGAGCTCAAGGAGAGGAAGACCAACCCGGTGTGCCGAAGACTGCCGTAAAGATCGTTGGATTGCGCTCTACCACTTTTGCATCGACCAGAACCGCCGTGTTGCTTGCAGAACAAGTAAATGGCGGATCCCTCTACATCCACGCAGCCATCCGACGCCCAGAGGGAGGAGATGCTGGACCGCATGCTCACCCGCCTCGCTCTCGCTGATGACTCCGAACTGGAGCAATTGCTATCAAAGATCCTGCCCTACACCGTCTCCTCTCTATCCTCTTTATCTCCTTCAGTCCGCAAGTTGGTAAATCCCCATCTTCTTAATTCTTGGCTCCATTGTTTTGGATTGATGGTTTGCCAATCAATAATCACTTCCTAATAGTGGCAGACTCTGCTATTGGAAAAAGATAATAGCTTTGCCAGATTGCAAATTTTTTTTTTAAATTGAATTGCATATTTGCACTAGGGTTTATTGATACCGTGCTATTACGTTTTTATGCTATTTATACTTTTTCTCGTGCTGGTAGGTTATGGAGATTCTAACGCATGTGAACAAACGGGTGAAGCACCGCCTGGAAATAGGGTTGCCAATGTTGGAGCTGTGGGAGATTTATTGTGAGGCCAGTGGTTTCCCCATGGTTAGAAATTTCTGTATGGTGTACATCGAGATGTCCTTTGATCGTTTGCCTGCCGAGGTGTTTTTTTTTGGTTAACTTCTTTTTCATGTTTTCAAAGATCTAAAGTATAGACATGACATGCTTGTTTTTATTTTATTTTATTTTTGGAATGGGGGCTGGTCTTATGTTGCAGGCGAAAGCCAATATGGCTCCTGATCTTTTAGTTAATGTCTCAAGGCTTCCCACCCAACATCAAGACATTATTTTGAGGATTATTTTGAAGGTAAACTTTATTTCTTATTTTGGAAACTGATGCTTTATATTGCTTATCGTTAATATGGGCATGCTACATGAGTGTTCCTAAGACTTTCAATTTCCATATTTTTAACATAGAAACATGGTTACTTGGTTGGATCAAATAAAATTGGTCCAAGTACCTTCCTTTGCTTCTGCATTACCGGTGCGTGTGATACGATGAAAGGCTTAAAAAGTTTTGTCCTTTTGAAATTCTTTCATGATCTTTAGCTTATGGAGTTTTAACTCATTGTACTTTCTTGGGGTAGTTTTTTAGCTAGTTTCAAGTAGGATTTAATAGGATTTATGTTAAATCCTGCCAAGTTGCAAGAAACACATGTATATCCCACATATTCATCCTATTTTTTCTTAGTTCTGCCTTAATTTCAGGATTTAGTGAATCCCATTGGAAGACGGGTCTAAGGATTTAGAGAAATTAAAGTGTTGTTTGTTAGCCTATTAACAAGCGGATTTAGCTTAAGGGTTTGTTTGGGGCAGCTGCAAGTTATCCAGCTTATTCAGATAAACAGCTTATCCTAAGAAGCTGCTGATCAGCAGTTGATTCAGATGAACTGACTAGCTGTTTGGTTCGTGTGTTTGAAAAATAGTTGATTTGCAGTTATTTCTAGATAAATGACCATTATGCTCCTATGCGGTAGTGTTGTTTGCAATAGAACTGTCATAACTATATAGGGGTTTGGGTTTTACCATGAATTTTAATATTTGAGTGAGAATTTGAAAAATGAATGAAAGTCGGTGGTTATTTTGGCCGATGTAGCGATGAATAAAGTATGAACATCAAGATGAAAAAAATTGATGATAAAGATGAACATGAATTTGGTTGATGCAAAGGAATGTCACTACAATCTAGAGCCTCTCCGTCCTACTAAGAACCAAACATTTAACAGTGCTCTGGTCAATCCATGATTAATCAAGTACCACTCCTAATTTATATTATTAATATCTATACTTATATATACATATATATAAAAATATATGCATATGTTATAAATCCTTTCCCCATTTCATTACTGTTCTAGGAAAAAAATATAGATCTATTAAGAACTCCACTGTTCATGTCTTCTGCTTCATTTTCTTCCTCTTCTTAATCCCGCCCACGCTGCACATTCCTCAACCCTGCTTCTCAGAAACTCTCTTGCTAGATCTTTCTTTCTCCCTCCACCATCGCCGACAATGTCGGGGGTACCTCTTTCTCTATTGATGCGAATAGGGCTTTCTCCATTGGGGTTGCTGCCTCACTAGGACAATGGTCATTGCACCGCCTGCACCTACCTAAACTCTAATGGAAGCGCTTGCTGCGAGCTCTACAACACTCGTGTGTCGGTCAACTTTTTGATAGATTTGAAAATATGAATATAAAAATAATTTTTTGAAATGTAATTTAATATAATAGATATATAGTTTGGTTTCGAAAGTAGTATGTTTTAATTTTGAAAAAGAAATGAGACCAAATGGATCTCATTCGTCCAATAGTTTGCATAATCGGGCTTAATACCGCGAATATTACACCCTCCCGAAAGATAAGTATAGATCTCGGCGTGACCCAATCCCGTAAACTAAGAGATTTGTGACATCCGTTTGGTCTGCTGACCCAATCCCGTAAATTAAGAGATTTGTGACATCCGTTTGGTCTGCGAACCTTTTATGTATAACCGATAAGTTTCCATATATAATATAAAGATTAAACATGGTTTATTTTGCCTGAGTTCCAAGTTTCCTATAAAAGCAAACCCCTATAGTTAATTACATCTCAAATGACTGGGGTCACTTGAGAAAACTCTTGATAATGATTAAATGTATTAGTTTTCAAGATTCCAAAGTTTAGGTTCTCACGGTAGGACATGGAAAGGCAAATGGGAGCGGCTCAAATAGGAACAGTTATTTCAGGAGTCCAAAGAAAAGAAAAGGTAGGGGATGTCATAGATCCTGAGGAGAACCCTCAGTGACTTCCTAAACTATCCTACTGTGTGATTGTGTTTTAGAGAGAATTTTATTTGAATGTTGAATTCTGTCAATTTTATTATTTGAGATTTACATTTGCATAATAACTGGTTATGCAAATAGCCCGCCAAGATAAGATGTTTTACGTCACTCCAGATGACAACCTCGGAACCTAAGGCGAGTTAGGACTTACGCTACACAACATGGTTGTGTAGCCTAAAAGAGGGTGAGGTTTTACGTCGCTCTAGGCGAGCTACCTCGAATTCCTATGGGTTGTTATTATGCTAGGAAGAGATAATACTGAAAAAGATCCTCTTGCTGCTCTGTCTGAGTTCCTCGTCATGCTGCCCACGAATTTAGCTTTGCCCACAAAGTTGGTTCCAACCACAAAGTTGGTTCCAAGCTCCTGTCGTCGTGACGACTTCAGGGTTTAAGTGCTTGAGATTAGTAGTTTTCGCTTCACAGTTTTGGTGTCAATGTTTGGTTTTGTTGTTTCGATTTTGGTTTCAGTTCTGATTTTGCATGCAAAGTAAGCAAATCGTAGGTAAATAAAATTTGCTTTGAAAAATAAAATGCTGTGAATAAACTGTAAAAATGTACCTGAGTATCTGCTACTGTTGCGTTATTAATGTTGCGAGCATAGTATGATTTGCAGCAGATTTAAATAAATTTGCAAGAAAATTACATAAGACGAGAAAACCCAACGCTAAAGTCAGAAAAATGAGTTGTAAAAATCACGAGCAAAAGAAACCCTTAGCCACATATGAAAGATCAGGACTGGATATAAAACAGTGGTAAAAGTGGGGGCTCAGAGCTGGGCTGTGTGTTTCCCGACCTTGAGTAAGAGTTGCCAACTTGAAAATCTACAGAATGTAGTTTTTAACCTCAATCCAATTGACTAACCATGGACTTTTATAAATTTTCATAGAAAGATTTTCATGCAAATGTTGTTGTTTGTTGTTGTTCAAGTCCTTTTTATGTAGAGTTCTTTTTAACATGCAAAAGAAATTTTTATTTTATTTTTGTAAAGTCGTACAGTCCACTGACTAGTCACTCTAATCGTGTTAGAGCTACTGCCAACCTAAGAGTGTCGAGGGCAACGATCCCACCAAGAATCGGCGAATAGTATCATAGGTTCTTCCCTCTCCCTTATTGGTAGGAGATACCATTCTAATAATTCCACTTCGTATCCCTCGTTTAATCACACATAAACAATGTCGTCATCGCCCTCGCCACCTAGACTCTAGACTCATTCTAGTCCGATGATCCATATGTGACGTTAACAAATTACCCTAATTGCCAAAAAGATTTAAGTGTAATATTCAAGCTTAAATTCCAATGCACTGGGTTTTACTGTAAGTTAAGTCATTGTGAGAATTTCATTGTTGATTTAATTAAGAAAGCATGAATTAAATTACGTCTCGGTGCATCCTGGTCTGGTGTCTAGTGTCTTGATCAGTTTGTGAATCAGACTCAAGTGTCTAGTTTTATTATTCATTCAAAAAAAAAAAAAACTAGGTGGATGAACGCTCACCTAGGGTGTGCTCCTAAAATCTAGGAAGCTTATGCTGAGAATTAGGTGGATGGGCTCACACATCTAGGAAGCCTATGCTGAGAATTAGGTGGATGGGCTCTCATCTGGGGTGTGCTCCTAAAATTTAGGAAGACCATGCTGAGGATTAGGTGGATGGACTCTCACCTTAGGGTGTATTCCTAAAATCTAGGAAGACCTTGCTGAGGATTAGGTGGATGGACTCTCACCTTAGGTTGTATTCCTAAAATCTAGGAAGACCATGCTGAGGATTAGGTGGATGCACTCTTACCTAGGGTGTGCACCTAAAATCTAGGAAGCCTACATTGAGGGCTATGTGAATGGACTCTCACCTAGGGTATGCTCATAAAACTCTAGGAAACCTACTCTTTAACTTATGCTTAAGGTGATTTAAGGTTTTCTATATCTTTTAATTAATTAAATCATCAATCCCCATCTTTATGACTTAACCATTTAACAAAAATACCAAAACAAACGAAAAGAAAATGTTGATCCACTTTCAAAACTAAGAAATCAAAAGAGGAAATAACAAGTGAATCAACCTAAAAAAATTTAAAATCTTTCAACAACTGTAATTAAATAGACTCTCGAGAAGATTTCTTAAGTTTGTTCCAAGAGCAGTGCGCAAAATCAGCCCATTGACACCTAAACTGGCTCCAAAACAATGCATAAAAATCAGACCTTAAATTCGCCTCAAAACATTGTGTAAGCCTCTCTAAATCAACAAGCAAAAACATCCCAAAACAGTGTTCAAATTGCTTCAAAATGGTGCCCAAATTATTTTCAAAACAGCATATAAATCCTAGGCATGAAAAGATACATTTCACGTTAAGAAATAGAAGTACCTCTTACGTAAAATTAAAGATTAGAGTGGTGTAACTATAAAGCTTAGGTTCCACATATGCAGAGAATATAAGCATTGTATGGTATGCACATAAAAATTGAAGCCAATGTGATAAATATGCAAGCACATAGCAATTGAGTGGCATGTATGTAAAACAAAGCTTAGGTATTAGGCATACAAGTACATATGATTGACATACAAGTTGGTTCTAAGACTTGGGTGCTGGATATGTAAATCCACGAGAATTATGTGGTACGTATGTGAATCCTTCTAAAAAAATCAGCAGGTTCCAGTAAAGAATATTGGAATAATAGTAGAAGGAAGACTCATTTCGGAAAAAGTTCACATTCAATAATTTATGGTTGACGTAAGCAAGCCCACGATTTTAACAACTATTAAACATTAGTTTGAATTTAATGAAGAACGATTCCATTTTTCCATGCCCACACAAGATCATTGTAACACTAGCGTATCAGATGATTCCTAGATAAAAGCAAGTAAACACAATTAAAACAATTAAAAGAACAGTGGATAATCAAAACACACAAGATAAAGTCACGGATGATAAGC